GAGTACCTACAGGGGCTTGTGTTTTCCTGGCTGAACCCTGACAGTCACAAGTGGGAATCCATAGTAAATGAGGAGATGATAGGAGGAAAGTTCTTGCACTTTCAGGCACTCTCTGTACAAAACATCACACTGAACAACGCATGGAGGGAGTGGGAAAGACAAATCCAATTCTGAAACTGATAATCCCATCACTTAAAGTGAATGAAATAAGAAGGTGGACCTGAACCAGGAGTCAAACAAGATGCTGGACATAAGCACTCGTTTGGTAGAGGCAGGAAGAAACGCCTAAAGAGGAAAGGAAACCAAAGAGGAGCTCACCTGGGATGTGATGAAGGACACAAGCAGATCGAAGAAGAAGAAGAAGAAAAAGGCAAGAGGAAAATAGAGAAGTTAGTTCAGCTAAGGAAATCAGGTTACTTTTTAGAAATCAAAGTGAAAAGAGTTTCCATTTGAAATACCAACTATCTTGATAGGATTTGAAAATCATTCTATATGAGGAATTGGAATATATTTTCCTCCAGTCTCCCCATCCTAAAGAGCCTTGGCTCCTGCAGAACTCATGAGTGCCATGGATGTCAACATCTCAAGTTCCATTTTAAGTCCGCTTCTTCCTTTCTTACTCACTTCTATACATAATTAAAAAAAAAAAAATCAAAACCTAAGTTGTACTGTCATCCCACTTTAAGAATGCAGAGAGCCAGACTTTAGAAAGCTTCAGTGAAAGTGAGAGGAACAAAACTATAGTCATACCATCTGATGAAATGCAGTATAATGAAGTATCTCCAAATATGTTCGAATGGTTACTGCTCCCTGCTGAAGCACAGTTTGCTAAAAAAACACATGGTACATACATTTTCAGGAAACTTCTAAGATTTGTTTTGAATAGTATCAAAATTATATTTAACTGAAAAAGCAACCTATGAATAGAAGAAAATATCTGTAAAGCATGTATCTGATATGGAGTTAATATCCAGAATATATAAAGATCTCCTACAACTCAATAACAAGAAATCAAATAATGTGATTTTACACTGGTCAAAGGACTTAAAGAGACATTTCTCCAAAGATGAAATACAAATAGCGAACAAGGATATGGAAAGATGCTCAATATTACTAATCATCAAAGAAATTCAAATTAAAACCACGAGAAAAGACCTTATACCCATTAGAATGACCACTATAAAACATAAAACAGAAAACAAGTATTAGCAAGGATGCGGAGAAATCAGAACCATTGTGCCCTGTTGGTATAATTATAAAATGGCAAAACAGCTAGGGAAAATAGAATGGAGTTTCCTTAAAAAATTAAAATTAGAATTACCATATGATCCAGTAATCCCACTTCTGAGTATTTCAAAAGAATTGAAAGCAGGGTCTCAAAGAGATATTTGCACCCTTGTGTTCACAGCAGCACTATTCACAATAGCCAAGAGGTAAAAGCAACCCAAATGTCCAAATGGATGGATAAAATGTGGTACATGCATACAATGGAATGTTATTCAGCCTTAAAAAAGGAAGGAAATCCAGTTAGATGCTACAACGTATATGAACCTTCAGGACATTATGCTAAGTAAAATAAGCCAGCCACAAAAGGACAAATACTTCATAATTCCACTTATATGAGGTATATAGAATAGTCGAATTCGTAGAAACAGAAAGTAGAATGGTGGTTTCCAGGGACTAGGTAGAGGTGGAAAATTGGAGTTGTTGTTTAATGGGTATAGAGTTTTAGTTTTGCAAAATGAAAAACTTCTGGAGATGTTTCATAACAATTTGAATATACTTAACACTGCCAAACTGTATACTTAAAAATGGGTAAGATGGTGAATTTTATGTTTTTTTCCACAATTTTAAAAATAGCTTTAAAATTATCCTTAAGAACATTCCAAGAAATACTTTTCACAGCAAATGTGCATGGTTCCTGCCAGTACAGGTGGATCCAGCTCTTCCGTTAGTGACATTTGTTGATGGCTCCTTTTTCACCTCTGAAGCCTTTCTCACAGTAATGTCTTATATTTGCTGTACACAGAACTTCCATGGACACATTTAGGGTACGTAGTATTTCCATTATGCCCCTTTGTTTGTTAGTAGTTTTGTACATTTGTGAAACTTCAATAATTTCACTGAAACTCTAAAACTATCAGAACGACATTAGCTTCCCTTTTATATATCATACAAAAACATCAGAGACCATCATTAGTTCAAACGCTTAGCACGTATTTGCTGAGATTCCACATTATGCTTGGTGCTCAGTACATTAAGGTGAAGATAACATAGTCCTCACCTTCAGGACCTCACAATCCACTAAGTGAACAGATAATTATAACACCATAAATGCAAAGCAAATCAATACATACAGAGGTGAGAAGTTCAATGATAAAAGTGCATAGGCAACTTGAATAGGATTAATTGTCAGAGTACACAGTGAAAGCTTTGGAGAGACTGCAAGCCAATAGAATTTACCAGGCAGGTGGGAGAGAATGAAGACGGATAAAGGGATTCTAACAGAAAGAAGAACATCAGTAGATGAATAATACATTTGGGGTTCCAGGAACTACAGGTCTTTCAATCTTGCTGGAACTTGCGGTACAAGGAGATAGAAAAAAGAGATAAATTTACAGCAAAAGATAGGGTGATGGAGGGGGGCCTTGTAACTCATACTAAGAAACCTGGACTTTGTATTGTAAGGGAAACCCTTTGAGTGTTTTCAGCGGGATACAGGGTATAAGATCAAATTTTCATTTTAGAAAAATCACACTAACAACAGTGTAGATTACAGTTTGGGGAAAGTTAGACTACGAAAGGGAAGGGGATCAATTAGAAAACTCTTGAAACATTCTAGATAATGATAGTGAACTACTGAAGGGCATTTAAGGCAAATGGGCAAGTTGAACAGGGGAAAATTTGAGAAACATTTATAAAGTTTACGGGATGTGATGTTTAGTTTGGTATTCAGGATAAAGAAAAACAGAAATCTAGAATGCATCATTGGCTCTCAACATTAGTACCTTCCGCAGACCAAAGTAAGATATGAGAGAAGTATCTCTGGTGAATGGAGAAGTAGTAAATACTGGAGCTTGAAGCATAATGAAATAAGATATTGAATTTGGGCTTCTTGGATATAGATTCCAGTGGGTTATGAAGAGGAAGACATGCACAAAGCAGTTGAATACATGGCTCTGGACCTTAGGGCAAGATTGGGACTGGAGTCAGAGATTTGAGATTCATACACATAAGCCATAATAATGGATAACATTCCTTAGGAAGTAAAGGTAGAACAAGAAGAAAAAGTACAGAGAAATGTGTATCCCAGAATGCAACAATCTAAAGGAGTCAAGAAAGAGAAGCACCTGGCCAAAAAAAAAAATCCGTAATAGTATATTAACAAAATAAAGTACCCACTATTATAAAAAAAAGCTATCTTAATAAATGAAAGCATAATCAATTTTGTAGCACTAATCTGAATCTCTTCTCATAGTTTACCTCCTCATTCAGAATGTTAAGTATACGTATATGCATATGTATAGATAGATAATATAGTATAGCTATAGATATAATGTGCTATACCATCTTGCCATCATCATGATATCTTCACATCATTTCATACCACTTTGATGATCTTGAACATAATCCTACCTGTCTCTCATATTTATATCTACTTACATTTGAACAGAATCCTCCCTCAAACTTACGGTTATTATCATCTACCCTTTCTGTTCTTGGGGCACATTTTTTCTGGTCTTCCAACACCACCATAATCATGCTCTTTCCACAGTTCCCTTCTCATCTATTGGCTAGCTACCCTAAAAACTAATTAAATGTAAAGCATCCTTAGATGAGAATGGCTTAAATCCATGTGTTCCGTTTTTTTCCTACAGGAACTTTCAATCTCTTGACCAAAAGGAAAGATTGATGTTGTGTTAGAAATTACCGTCATTCTATGTTAGCCTTTAAGTATGCTAACTGGCAAGCTATTCCAGAAGCCACAGAACAGAAAGCCTCACCAATCACATTGAGATCCTTAAATCACACACAGTGAAAGAGAGGAGGAAAAATATGGGCCAAGTTAACACACTTACTATAGAATGCAAGTAGGGTAGTAGAGCAACAACACTTAAATCCCAGGTCATGCAATGTTCTTAGGTACACTTGCCTGCTCTTTCTGCCACATCAGTTTTCTTTACTGATGCTGTGTTTATGAAGACCAGAATCAAGATTTGAACCAGGGGTCTTAGGAGGCCAAAAGTCCTGGAACTAACACACACTTGCTCTATTGGAGAGTACAGTGTCAAGTATGCCAGGTCACAGCTGTAGCTTGAAGAGGAACTATGGATTTTACATGAGATTCTTGGACAGAGGACAGGTGGAGCCAGGATAAAATCTTAATGCTTGTTACCAATGGGTGGTCAATTTAAGATCTTATGAATACTGAGTGCTTCAGGTACATCATGTATATTTGTGTATCTTGAATATTAGCTGCCTCTCGGTCCTTCCATTTCCTCTGTATTCAGCATCTAGACTCGTACTTTATCTCTTATCTAACGTGTTTCATAGGTAATTAACTCATCAACTTGACTCCTCTTTATGAATTCTGTTTGCATCTCACATGCTACTTACATATTCAGTATATATACATGACACAGCTTATGAGTTTCAACTATGTTTACAATTGACTTATCATCTATGCTTAACTATTTATAGATAATGAATTTTTTTAGCAGTTTCATCATACCATGTATTTTCTCTTCATTTATAGCATAACTATGGATTCTTAATTAAGGCAGCAAAAACACATTACAACAGAATACTAGGGAATTTTCCAGGCATGTGACAGGTCACTGGAAGAGACATTTTGATTTTTAAAAAACAAAAACTTTAGATTTCCATGAAATTGCATTTCATAGACAACTGCTTACTGTTTAAAAACTTAAGTACCCAAGCATTCTGATATAGTGTAAGTCAAAGATATTGCTTGAACATGCAATGCTGAATATACTCACGGTCGCTAGTAGTTTATCCAATGTGAATGTCCAAGTAATATTGTCAGATAGTTACTCCATCAAATTTCTGAAGAATATAAAGAATGAGTAGAAAAGGAGAATAATGATGTTTTTTCTTCATTTACTAAAGTGATAATTCAGCTAACTTTTTCCATTTCTATGAGAATAAGTTTCTTAATGATAATTCAGAAAAGTTGAAATAATTAAGATGTTTCTAGAAATTCTTATTCAAAACAATAATAATCACCCATTGCAGTTGTGTGTAAAAGTCTACTTAGTGACATTAGTTTGCTTTGTGAATAACCAAATTTCTCTGTAAAATAAAAACACATTTCTTGAAATTCTTAAAATTTCAAGAATTTATTAACTTGTTTTTTGGGGATAAGAGAGGCCGAAAAAAATCAATCGTCTAAATTAATTTTTTTGAATCAAAGGATGTCACCTCATTCGAGGAAGAAATGTAGTAAAATATAAACAGTCCATAGTATAAAGATTTTCCACATACTGTACCAGGTTTTGTGCTAATAAAAATTTCCGGATACGAAATTTAAAAAACACCATTATAACATAGCCAAAATATAGTTATTTAGTGGAATTAGCAAGTAGTTATTTTTCAATATTACTTTGTTGATTCAAGATAAAGTAGAGATTTTTGCCTATGTTTTCTTAACAAATAACCAAATTGAAAAGAAATTGAAAATCTTGCAGTAAACATTTCTAGAAGAAAGCATAGGAAAAAAGCTTTTAGATTTTGGTCTTGGCAATGACTTTTTTTGGATATGACACCAAAACCACAGGCAACAAAAGCAAAATACACAAGTGGGATTACATCAAACTAAAAAGCTTCTGCAGAGCAATGGAAACCATCAACAAAATGAAAAGGCAATCTATGGAATTCAAGAGAATATTTTCAAAGCTTATATCTTAGAAGGAGTTAATATCCAAAATATATAAGGAACTTATACAGCTCAATAGCAAAAAACAAATAACCCGATTAAAAAATAGAGGACTTGAATAGATATTTCTCAAAAGAAGACACACAAATGACCAACTGCTATATGAAAAAATCTTCATCATTAATCATCAGGAAAATGCAAGTCAAAACCACAATGAGATGTCACCTCACACCTGTTAGCATGCCTATTATCAAAAGACAAAGAAGTATTGGAAAGAGTGTGGAGAAAAGGAACCCTTGGGCACTTTCGGTGGGAATGTAAATTGGTGCCAGTCACTATGGAAAACAGTAAAGAGGTTCCTCAAAAAATTAAAAATAGAATTACCTTATGATCCAACAATCCCACTTCTGGGTATATATCCAAAAGAAATTAAATCAGTATCTCAAAGAGATATCTGAACTCCCATGTCCATTGTAGTATCATTCACAATAACCAAGATATGGAAACAACCTAAGTTTCCATTGACAGATAAATGAATAAAGAAAACGTGGTGTATATATATATATATATATATATGTGTGTGTGTGTGTGTGTGTACACACATGCACATACACAATGGAATATTATTCAGTCATGAGAAAGAAGGAAATCCTACTATTTGCAACATTGTGCACGAATCTGGAGAATATTATGCTAAGTGAAACAAGCCAGACACAAAAAGACAAATACAACATTATCACACTTACATGTGGAATCTAAAATAGTCAAACTTATAGAAGCAGAGAGTAGAATAGTGGTTGCCTGGGGCTTTGGGGGGGTGGAGGCAATGGAGAGATGTTGGTTAAAGGGTACATAGTTTCCATTATAAGATGAATAACATTTGGAAGTCTAATGTACAGCTTGGTGACTATAGTTAACAGCAATGTATTGTACACTTGAAATTTGCAGAGTGTAGATCTAAAGGATTCTCTCCACAGATGTAAAAAAAGAAGAAAAGGGTAACTGTGTGAGGTGATGGATATGCTAACCAGCTTGATTGTGGTGATCGTTTCACAACGTATACATATATCAAAATAGCAAATTGTATAGCTTAAATATATACATTCTTATTTGTCAATCATACCTAAATATAGCTAGTTTTTTAAAAAAAGATATCTGAGATACATTAGTGAAAGTAGCAATTTCTGAGCAATATCTAAAATGTGATTCCTTTTTTGGTTAAAATAAAAAACTAAGCGTCCTATTTTATGCATTTATCAATACCCATAGAACTGTAGACTAAAATGAGCAAATTTTACTATATAGAAATTAAAAAGTGAACTAAAAAGATTGTGACCTCCTAAACGTACATTAAAACATCACCTTTTTCAAAAATATGTGTCAAATCTTGTAATATTAAAAAAAAGCACTTGCTTTAAGTAATTTTGTCCCTGCCAAAAGTAAACATATTGATAATGGTTTATTTGGGGGTCAGAGGTGATTTATAATATTAAGAAGTCTGAAAGAGTGCTTAAGGAAAAGCCCAGTGGCACCCAAGAGAAGTCAATGAGGCATGGCAACTATAGATTGTGGATATGTCATCATAAAATCAAAATGACAAGGGGATATGAGCAATAAATGTAAAATGATAGACATTCTGTCACAAAGCCACGTAGACATCAAATACTGGTAGGACAAAGGTGAATGTTCAAAGGTCATTACCATCATCAACCTTACAGGTCAGTCTTTAACTCTAGACACAAGACAGTCTAGAAGTCCAGATTTAGGCAAGAAAAGGAGAGTATGGGAAACAATCCTTCCAAGGTCACATGTAACATATCAGAAAGCAATAAAACTATTTATCACACTTTCTTCTATGATCTAGAGTCCATTTTTAGTACTGTATATTTTTAATAAATCCTATCATAGGTGGGTGTGTTATGAGGTGAATTTCCTTCTAAATTCACCATGTAACTTAGAAGTGCAAAATAAAGCATGAAAGTACAGTTTTCCAGCTCACACTTCAAAGTGTATGCCTCAAACTGGCCAGCAAGTTGTGATCTCATCATATAACCTGTAAGTGTTGAAGGTGAAAGAAATCTGTCACACACGGGGCTATTTTAATTTACTTAGAGAACATATTCATATTGTATCTACTATTACTGAAAGAGTAGGATAGGCTCAGGTGAGTGCAAACATGGGTACAGTCCTCAGATTTTCTTACAATCCCATAGGCAAGTGGAAAAGTCCATGAACAGCACAAGAAACAAGAGAACACATTGGCTGGATGTGACTTTAATATGAAAATCCTCAGCCTCCCTTTTCCAAACCTAACATGGATTTTGTATATATTTTCTAACCTACAGGCCCATCCCAAAGGTCAGGTCTGCTAAGAGTCCTAGGAAGTGAGTGAAGAAGAAGCTGAAGGTTGTGGGTGAAGAATAAAGTTCATTTCAACTAAATGTTGGTTACAGAGAATTATTCTACCAGGGACATGGGCAAAACAGTGGGATAGATAATGTATATTCTGGTATCTAAAAAGATAAAATGTTGTGCAATGTCTTGAATATAATTTCTACTAAAAGGTTAAAAAACAACTTTCTAATATGCTACATACTCAATAGCAAATGCTCTGAATAATCATGGAAGTGGTAGGTGCTATTTTGATGGTGAGACAGAAGAGAAGGAAAATATGAACATAATCCTAAATTTGTTCTAAGGACTTGAAATCACCAAGAGCAGTTTGGAGTTAAAAAGGAATGTCAGAAATAATGGGGTGACTTCCTTATAGGTATGCTTTTTCTGGTGAGGAAGATTGGCCCTGAGCTAACATCTGTTGCCAATCTTCCTCTCCCCCTCCTCTTTTTATTTTTTTCCTGCCCAAAGCCCCAGTACATAGTTGTACATCCTAGTTGTAAGTCATCCTAGTTCTTCTGTGTGGGATGCCGCCTCAGCATGGCTTAATGAACAGTGTGTAGTCTGCACCCAGGATCCTAACCTGCGAATCCTGGGCTGCCAAAGCAGAGTGTGTGGACTTAACCACCTGGCCATGGGGCCAGCCCTCTAACTTCCTTATAATACAGTACAATCTCATATAATTTGAATCAATTAACAGCTAAAGTGGAAATTGGAGGCTTTGTGGCCAGTAGGGAAATGTGGGAAAATGTCTTATTGATCCAACCAAAGTTTCTCATCCAGGTGAGATTAATGCATTGAGACGCCACAGAAAGGAGGATATAGTGTTTTGTTTGGGTGTGGTTTTCATCCATATCTCATTTGATAAGACCAAAATGTGAAAGCTGGTTGGCAGTAGTAGTGATTAACTGTCTGTCCTGTCTGTTTTAGCTTGTCTCTTTCACAGATTCAAGTAAAAAAAAAAAAGGTTTATTAACAGAAAAATGTGTACAACTAATGTAACCACCACAAACAGAAAAAGTAGAACTCTACCTCTGACATACTGCAGATTTAGGCCTTAATTTCTTCAAGAACAAGGTTGAGAAAACAGGAGTTTATCATCAAGTTACAGATGTCTGTCTGTTTGTGTAAATGGCTTCACTTTCCCAGGAAAAAAAGAAAAGGAACAAGACATAGACTAGGTAAATACTCTTGAAAGCCATTTGTAATTCACACAAGAACAAAATGCCTCCTTTTCCATTATTTCGCTTGAAGGGAATTCCTCTGAAGTAATGATGGAGTTGTTAGACTTCATTCTTCCATGCTGCAGAATACCAAATCCTCCATCCACCAGCCATCAGGACTTAGATCCTATTTAATACAACTTGTATTACCAAGTCTACAGGTTCACAGGCTTTCTAGTCAAATAGTACCAAAACCTAATATAAGAAACAGTTTTCTAGAGTGAAAGTCAAGTAGCAGTCATATGAGAATTGATTTCTACCCACCAAAAGCAATGCCAACACAGCAGAGGAGATACTTGAATCCAACTAGCTGTGCATAGAAATCTTCTAACAAGATGTTAGTAAGTGAGGATGAAAAGCTATAGAGCAAATGTTATTTTCAACAAATTACATATTTTATGTAATTTGTTTTGCCTTTTTTTGGAGTAGAAAAACAAGCACTGATCTATTTTACATATATTTGGATTTTTTTCTTTAATATTTGTTTTTTAAAAAAATTTTAGTATTATATGTAAATAGACATTAAGCTCAAAAACTAAAGGTGAAAATAAAGGCCCTCTGTTGACAATAGGAAAAACGAAGGGTATGTTCACATGGAATCTTTTAGTTTAGAAAGAAAACCAAATCAGTATCATTTGATATGCATATGCATAAGTATGGTAAACAATCCATAATAATTTTAATTTGGGAAATATGTAGATCATACTACATTCTTTCTTAAAATAACTATAGCTCCTTTAATTTTTTTTGGTGAGGAAGATTGTCCCTGAGCTAACATCTGTGCCAATCTTCCCCTATTTTGTACGTGGGATGCTGCCACATCATGGCTTGATGAGCAGTGTGTGGGTCCATGCCCAGGATCTGAACCCACAAACCCCGGGATGCTGAAGCAGAGCATGCAAACCTGACCACTACACCACCAGGCTGGCCCCACAATAGCTTCTTGTGATAAAAATTTCCTAATATTCTATGAATCACTAGGATGGTTAACCGAATCTTTGATGGGAAGGCAGCTATCACCTATTAGTTCTGGTTGACCAGAGGTTACATTTAGGCTGTTAAGTATTTCATCTGGGGGTTCAAACTGTGAGCCTCAGAACCTCATCAGAACTCATAGTTGGAACAGACCTTTGAAATCAGTCCCAGTGTTTTATTCTCTGTCCGGAGGGGAAGACTAAGCAGAAAGGGATTGATTTTGCCTCTTTCTCAGGGAACTTGGTCCAAAATGAAGCTCTGAGGAGACCGGAGAGCCCTGAAACCATTCTTGTTTTCAGAATAAACATTGGGAAAAATAAAGTGGGTGACAAATCTGGTGATGGACAACTGAGTCTGCCCCAAGCAAGCACTGAGGACAGAGGTTCAGTTCTTTTACTATCTGTCCTTTTTGGGGAATAGAAAATCCCTGAGATTATAACTGATTCCCATGAGAAAACTGTTTCACATTAAGAAAGTGTCAATATATTAGCAATAGTCATTGAATTATATTTGAAATTTAGGATTTCTTCTTGACACTGGGGATCATTATTTGAATTCCGATTTTAGTCACATGTATTTCTTTGCATACTATTCAAACACAAAGCCTTCTATATGAACTCCATCCACAAGGGAGTAGCAAGATTTCATTAGTGAACTATGTGTAAGTTTTATGGAGGTTCTCTCAGGTAAGGTGATGCATAATATCAAGTTATAATGTTGAAGTTATTAGATCTTAGCAAATAGCATAATTAACTGTCTATGTTTAAATAGGAGACAAGTGAGAATTTATAAACTAAGATAAAATATGCTTTATGCAATTAAGGTATGTAAAATTCTTTTCTGTAAACAAAAGCAAACAGCTTTTTTTCATAGCTGTAATGTCATTTTGAAAGTACCGTGTTTCTCAGGGGCCATCAGTAAAGGCACTGCATCCATCTTTGTCAATTTCTGAGCACAGCCATTAGTGTAATGTCACCTTCTGAGTTCCTCACACCTTGACTACGCAAAGTTTTTAGTTTTTAAAACAACAACAATAAAAACAATGCCTGACGATGACACTGGGCATTAGAATTGTGCAACTAGAAACACTGTCCTGTTAGAAAAAAACCTTGAATGATAACAGACTCTGTGTTGTTTTAATTATAATCATCACTAATCTGTTATCATTATAACAAAATTCACCTCAGTCATTCTCCCCCCATTTAAAACTATCTCCGAAATATAAGAAATGTAATCTGGAGTAAATATGTCATTTGAAGGAGATAATGCCATGTTACTCTTTGAACTTTCCCTGTTTAGGAATCATTTTGTCACTGTATAAAATCTGGGATTTGGGAGATGAAAAAGATAATACAATCATATCCTTCCCCATAATTCTATACAACTGGAAAGTCAGGGTCAGGATCTGGTGTTGAATTGCTGTGTCTGAGGTACCTTAGCAAAGCCCAGGTTCTGGATTTCTGAACATTTTGGCGAACGAATCACATCACTTGCCAAAGATGATGTTAAAGAGAGTCTTACATGTATTGAAGAGCTGAGCTGTCTGATATCTAACATCAGTTCTGAATACAGGATTCCAAGACTACAACAATCACAGACAATAATCAAATTTAGTTCTCCGATAAAAATCTGCACTTTCAAAATACTTAACGGTTTTGCTGAATTCTAGACATTTGCTTTATAAAAAGGAATAAAACAGAACAAAACTATAAATCTGCTCATATTCCTGATTAAAATTAATTTAATTTTATTAAACATGTTTTCTTTTAGTCCCCTGGTAAACATTGTTAGGATATAGCTAATTAAAAGCACTATCACCCATCTACTGCTTGTTTGTCTCTAGGAAATTGAAAACACATAGCAGCAACCGCTTAGCTCATTTGGTGAGGCCAGCCATTAGTTCAACACAGAAGTCTTAAGTCTTACTAGATGACAGGAAAATTGGATACAGAGATGAATGAGACAGAGTTTCTATCCTCAAGACTAGTATAACCTCGTTGGAGGAGAGAGATGTGGAAACAAAGAGTGATAAATGCTATGATGGATGTAAGCACTATATTTCTAATCATGCAGACTAGTCTCATTTTGAGATTAGTTTCCTATTGCTGCTATAGGAAATCATCACAAATTTAGTGGCTTAAAACAACAGGAATTTATTCTATCACAGTCTGAAGGTCCTAAGTGCAAAATCAGTTTCACTGGGCTAAAGTCAAAGCGTCATCTGGGTTGGTTCTTTCCGGAAGCCCTAAATTTTCCCTGCCTTTTCCAGCTTTTATTCCTTGGCTCATGGTCCCTTCCCCCAGCTTGAAAGCCAGAGTAGTAGCAATTTCTCTCTTCTGGCCTCTGATTCCATCCTTACATCTTCCCTGAATCTAATCCTCCAAACTTCCTCTCACAAGGATTCTTGTGATTACATCGGGCTAATCCAAATAACCCAGAATAATCTCCTCATCTCAAGAATCTGAATCACATGTGCAAAATCCCTTTTTCAAAATGAAGTAACATATTCACAGATTTCAGGGATTAGGACGCTGGCATCTTGGCAGGGGAGGGGGGGTGATGCATTATTCAGCCTACCATAGCTACTGTGGACAACTTCTTACAAATATCAAAATTCATGCAGAGTTTCAATAAGCTTTTGGAATTTTACCAACTCATCTTTTTTATATTCCAGGCCTGTGCCTTGTAGGTAATCTGGAGAATTGTTATGATATGATATGATATAATAAGAGAATTCTTATTAGATATGAATTAAAAATGTATGTGAAATGAAACAGACTGTACTATGGATAACATAATGGACGGTACTATTGTTATATATCAATATATATAATGGACTATACTATTGATGGTAGCATAGTTTGGGCTTAAATGACCCATATTAGCTCTTCAAATTATATCAATGCATTAGCTGATTCTCATGTTTCTATACTCATCTTGGCTTTGAACTATAATTGCAGATTGAGTTCCAGTTCCAATTTTTTTAATAAAGTGTATGTATGTGTATATATACACATATATATTTATATATCCTTTCCATTAAAGAGATCTGGTATTAAAATCTAACAGAAATAGAAATGTATTAAATACATATTATTTGCGCTTTGGTTTAAATGTTTAGTGTTTACCTAGTTTTCAGGAATTCTTAATTACTGTACTGATGAGATTCAGGGTTATAAGTTCACTACTGCTTGCAGTTTTCTGTAATTCTTTTATTATTGAGGTTGAGTAATGTGATTCTCTTGATAGTGTAAATTAATGAAATACTGTAGAGCTCTAATTGATGGCTTTCTCAGATTTCTTCATAAACCATTATTACTATCTGTCTGTGGAGGCTTATAAACTCTGGGAGTTCCATGGCTTCTTTGCATCTTGAGACAGATGTTCTGAAATAATTTTCAATTATACGTCCAATTTTGCAAGTCTAAGGTAGACTGGGAAGAGAGAACAGAAAGCAAATTTCAACCTACTGTCTCAATTTTAGCAGATGTCTCAGTTTGAAAGAAGGATCCTTGGACCCTTAAGGCATTTCTTTTGTATCTCCTCCTGACCCCCAGCCCCAGTGGGTGCCAGCTTAAATCACATGAGCATCTCATTTTGTCAGAAAAGGAATCAGGTTAATATATGTGGCGTACCTCCTACTCCAAAGCTTTGAATTAGACATTTTCCACATTAATTTATTCATTCAACAAACATTTATTGAATTCATATGTGAAAAATTGTATGCAAGTTGCTGAGGATAGAGTAATATAAAACACTCTATCATTCCTTGCAGAAATTCAGGCCTAGCTAGAAAGGACAAGTCTCCTGTCACTGTAGTACATATGATTAATTTTGAAATAAGGGCAAACAGGGCGTACTATAGGCATACCAAAAGACAGCATCTAAATCCAATTTTGAATAAGAGAGTTTTTATTTGGGGAATTGAATTTTGAAGGACAAGAAGAAATTAGC